TCATAAAAGCACTATATCTTTTAGTTTTGGGGATCAAAATCCAAAAAGGGAAACATTAATAAGTACTAGAAATGTGGGTTGTATAAGATTTATTCTTGGGGTTCTGAAGCTTGGGAGTGAAGTTTTATGTTTACCAATTTTCTGTGTGTTTTATCTCAATTGTATGTGCTTTCATGAAGATTCTCATACAACTGGGTAGTCAAATTATTTCTTAGAAATTGGTTAATTTTTGTTAAAAGAGAATTGATGGGATTTGAATTATTTTATTGCTTTTTTCATATGATTAGAATGAATTTTCCTTCTGAAAATGGGATTAGTATCATTTCCTATTCACGTATCCACTCATTTTTTGTTACTTTTTTGTTGGCATACATTAATTAAAATAGCTGTACTTCAAAGAGGTATGCAGTCCTCAGGCTGCATAGAAAGGACCTCATACCGTGAGTGACCATAATACATTTCATATCAAAGGATGGTTGCTGGATAATTTTGTTTTCCAAGAAAATACTTTCTGAAAGTACAATCACAAGCTGCTTGCTTTGCTCTGTTCCTGTCAACAAAAAGGATTTAGCTATAGATTAGCTTCTTGTTTTCTTTTCTCTTTTATTTTAATAGTATTCTTCTGTTTATCCCTTTCAGACGCCTCCTTGGCATTATAACAAAAAAAGATATCCTCCGTCATATGGCCCAGACGGCAAACCAAGACCCCGCTTCAATAATGTTCAACTGAACCCCGTAGATGAGGAGAGAGAAGAAACAGAAGAGGAAGTTCATTTGTTGAATAGCACAACTCTTTAACCTGAGAGAGTCGTCCACTTTTTTTTTTTCCTTCTTTAAAAAAAATAAAAAAGGAAATATAAAAGCCAGGCTTTTGCATCATGGTTTGCAAATAATGCTGGTGAAAAGGAGGAGTTGTTCGGGAAGGAAAGGAGAGATGTGTTTCCCCGCTGTGAGCAGCAAATCAGCTCCTGTTGTTCTGCACTGGATGCATTCAGTGGAGGATGTGCTGTGATAGTGCAGGCTTGAGCCTCAAGGGAGATGACGCTGGAGTCCTCAAGCACCTGGCCTGTTTCCAACACTGCAGAGACATGTTATCAATCCCTATTTCTGGAGGGATTACTTTGAATTGAGCCATCTATAAGACTGCGAGGTCTTGCCTTTTTTTATCAGAACTGTTCTGTTTAATTCACAAATTGTGTAGTTAAGCATTACCTTTCTACATTCCAGAAGAGCTTTTATTTCTCTCTCCTGAGCTGTATCAAAGCCTCTTAAATTGGTGTACCCTTTTGAAGCAGAAGCAGTCCTTTCTCATATTGAGATGTACTGTGATTTTACTGAGGTTTCATCACAAGAAGGGAATGTTTCTTGTGCCATTAACCATGTAGTTCATACCATCACCAAAGGCTTGGAACAGTGCACACACACTATGTCAAAGGCTTGCCTAGCAGGTAAAATCTTGAGTGAAGTGTGAACAAAATCTCCCAAGTTGTGTGCTGTGTGGTTCAGAATGAAAAACAGTGAAAATTTTAAAGGATAAACAGGTTTTTTTCCTCTCAGACTTTATGGATAATGTGACCTGGTCTTATGCAAATTTTCTATTTCTAATACTACTATAATATACAAGTGCTGTTTAGCCTAATTAAACAAAAAGCTGCTGCTCTGACAGTAAAGAAAAGGAAGTATTCTGTTTAACTGTATCTGGTATTAATTGCATGTTTAAACACTGGAATTCTTTTTCTTGAAATTAGATCATTCTTTTGTTTCCTCAAGATACTTTACTGCTGACACTGAAGATAACATGTTATTTCATAACTTGCACTAAATGTATAATTCTTTTCTTAAAAATTTACCATTTATTTATATTTTTATGGATTAAAATTTATAAAATACAGATCAGTTAATATCACACTTAAATAATTTTACCTTTTTAATGTGATTTTTATAAACTAATTCTGACTTTAAAATATGGAGATATGAAAAAAGGTTTACAATGGGAGCAAGGGTTTAAAAAGCTTGTGCTGACTTCTCCATGATCCAAGATGTACATAATCTTTTTTCTGATCTTTCACTGCCATCCTCTGGATTATGTCTTCTGACCTGTCCATTTTTGACCTGTCCACAAACTGGAACATTCAAAATATTACAAATAACTAATGGATTAAAGCCAAAAGTTAGGGTTGATCCTTTTTTAGAAAATTTTGAAAAATGGAAACAACAAAATTGTAAAGGTAGCAGTTAAAATTCTAATCTAAGTATAATCTTTCAATCTCTGGGTAGGTCACCTCCATAACTGAAGTGTTTGATGTTTGGAGTAGCCACAATGTACATTTTTACAGGATGAGTTAAAATGTACTGAAGTGTTTAGAATTTTTGGTTTTGGAAATGAATGTCTGTTTTAATCATGGTTTTAGCTCACCTTTGGCAAAGGCAGTTTACTCAAGAAATAAATATCCTGGGATTGTGCATTTCTGATAAGCAAAGGACTTTTTGCAAACAGACATTTTCTGAAACATAATGGCAATGAACCATTGTTATATTTTGAAAGTGATTCCTCACTTCCTAGTTCTTAACAGTATACCTTTTAAGAGCTATAAGATCACTCTAGACCTAATGACCTTGAAGACTTAAAGATCATGAAGCCATATTAGAATAATTGAAAGTTGAATGAAATATTAGGAATTTTTTGAGCTCTTTTGCTATCTGCCAAAAATTACTATTTTGTCCTCATTACTTCCTCCATTTGGCAGACTTCAGTTTTCTTCATAGCCCTGTCACTTATTTTAACTTTCCAGAGTAATTATTTCTAAATGATAGTTCTTTATATCTTCATCTGTTTTAAATACCTTTGCAGGGTACAATTCACTGCAAGACTTTGAAATCCTCAACATGGCTTGTGCATAACTAATTGCCCTAAATTACAAGCCTTCAAAGGAGAAATCAGTTTCTTTGCAGGTGTATTTTATATTAAACTGCACATGGATTTTATTTTGCACATTTTCTTTTTTTTATTTCAAGTCCTGCTTTCATTGCCCATCTTGCTTCAGAGACTATTTCAGGATGAATATTAAAGCATACAATTTCTTTGGTATATTTCCATCTCGGTGTGTCTTACTACTGAAATATAGGAAAAGTGCCATATTTTCAATGCATTTAGAGGATTTCTTTGGTATAACTGTTCCATTTCTCTTTTTTGGGGAGTACCAGGGATCAAACTCGGGACCTTGTGCCTGCGAGGCAGGCAGTGGCACCACTGAGTTAAATCCCTGGCCCACCATTTCTCTTTTTGATACATTGAGATATGTCTGCTTTTCAACCAAATGATGAAGTAGTGGATAACATGACATACATGTGCCTAGCTAATTGGCAAATTAATTAACCAATAAGTGTAGCGCCTTATTTGAGTACCCTTTTTGAGAAGGTATAATGAGAATAGGCAGGAGTGTCAGCATCTCTTATTAATAATTGCTTTAAGTTTTTGGTTCACAAAGAATGCTTAGTTTGTTAATCTGTGATGTTTCCTAGAGCTGTATTTATCTGTTTTTATTTATACTAGTGTAGTAAAGCTGCATATCATTACAGTAAAAATGATTACTGTGAGGAGTTAATCAGAAAATCTATTAAAATCTATATGACAATGTGTGGTTTGGCCTTTAATTATATCTATATCAGTCCTCTAGTGCTGCACTGTGCAGTGTAGGCCAATATTCCTGACACAGCCTCTAAAAGATGGTAATTACAATGCTTTTCTCGGGTTTCACAGCCATTTCTGCACTTTGCGAGCAAGAGCCAGAGAGAGTAGAAGATGCTGGATTAAACAGAAAAATGTTCATCTCTTAGCAGTGGGCTAGCTCCCCCTATTGTCAGTGGAAGTTGCACGTCTACAGCGAGCTTTCATTTCAGTTCACATTAGAAAATGTGGTTTTTTGAAAAAGAAAAACTATGCTGTATGTCTGAGAACAGGTAAAATGGCTTCTATACTTTCAGAAATCATCTTGGATATTTGTTAAAGAGAACTGCCTTAAAAGAGAGTGGTGAGAAACATTTGAATGAAATTTCAATAGTCTAATGTTGAACTTCAATAAGGAAAACACTGAATGTCGAAGGTAGATCTTTTATCATTTATTTGTTCATTCACTGAATGTTTATTGAACTGTGTGTCAAGGGCTATTCTTGTGCTTTTGAACCTTATATTCCATTACAAATCGATAGTATGTCAGATGGTGATAAGTACTATAAATTCCATAAATTTAAATGATTGTACCATTCACTATTATAAGCATAAAAAATCAGGCAAAAATCCCCATCCTAATAGTTTTTCTAGGAAAAAAAGTGAAGGTCTGTATATATTTGCATTTGTGTATCTCACTTATAGAGCAGGATTAGGTAAAGCCTCTAAGACAAGGGTGATGTGAGCAAAAACCTAAAGTAAGGAAATGATGGGTGAGAAAAAATCTTCACAAAGAGCAAATACTGTACGGCAACATCCTGAGGTATCTGTGAGGTAAGGAATACCAAGCTGGTCATGGTGACTAAAGCAAGATAAGGAAAGGGGACGAAGAGGAAAGGGGATATAGGGGATTGAATTTTATTCTAAATAATTAGTGGGAAGCCAGTGAAGCAGGAAAGTGATACAATCAATTTTTCTTCTTTATTTGTACGTTTTAGATATACAATACAGATACAGTCATCATTGGGATCTTGTACCTTTACATGACATCTTCCCCACTCCCCTAGCCTCCCTCCAACCCTCCGCGTATCCCCACCCACAGACTTTGTTTCCTTTTTTTCCTTTTCTGTATTTTTTCTTTTTCCTTACCTTTCTCCCCTACCCCTCCCACTTCCCCTATACCTTTACTTTTTTTTCCTTTTACACAATATCAATTTACATTTTTATTACTTAATTTTAGTTTATCACACTAGAGAAACTATTCAGTATTTATATGTGTTCTATTTCACAAGAGTATGTCCTCAATGTGCATCCACTTAACTGTGTCTCTAGTTTCTCATTCTTTATGGCTGAGTAGTACTCCATTTTATTTAGGGGAAAAAAAAAACATTTTTCTTGCAATCTGATTTAAAATGACCTCTCTGACTGCATATATGGAATAGACTGTAAGGAACCCTGCACTTGGAATAACCCAAGTGAAATATGGTGTAAGGTTGAACCTAACTGAAGCTGGCAAAAAGTGGTGAAAGTGTTTGGATTGTAGATATGGTGAAGGTGGAATGGATAGGATTTGCTAATTGAGAAATTTGGAAGGTTGGAGGGGGGTCAAGGCTGTCTCTTAAGTGTTTTGGACTGAGAAATGACAAGACTGGAATGGCCATGACTGACTTGGGCAAGACTTCATAAATTAAGTGTGTGTGCAAAGGAAGTTTTGGTTATAGACATTTAAGTGTCATAGTTTTCTATCTTAAGTGTGGGTTTAAGTAGATCTTAGTCTATAGAGACTTGAGTTCAGGAGAAAGATCTGTCCTGAAAGCTAAATGGGGATGAGATTGCATGGATTCAGTGTGGGCAGAGAAAAGGTACAAGGATTGAGATTGATGCATTTTTGTTTAAATGTGCGGACCCAACAAAAGGGAGCTGGCAATAAGGTAGAGTAGGCAGTACTGGTGCCATTGAAGGAAGAGTGGCCTAACCATGAGTAAATAGCTCATGGAAGATCAGTTGTCAGGCGTTGCTGATAAGGTGAAGTAGATGAGGCCTGAAAGTTGACCATGTGAGGATAAACCACAGCCAGTTCACTGAGATGACAAGCAACAGCCTGACTGGGGATGTTTTTAACAGGTTGGAAGAACTGGAGGCAGCCATCACAATTTTTCCTCGTGAGGTTTTCAGAAAAAGTAAGTTTTGAAGTGTTTTGTTTTAGGTTGCAGGATATTATAGCTTTTGTTGATGAAAATGTTTGAGAGATTAAAAGTCTGAGATTTTAAGGTGCAAGATAATAAAACGTCTTTTGTTAATTATGGGAATGTTTGAGAGGGAAAATTAATGACCAGAGAGGAGAGGTCCTTGCGTAGGCAAGTGAAAAATGAAACAAAAATCATAGGCAGAGTGTAATGGATAGTTGATAAGGCCGTGAGTTTTGTTGTGTTTTGTTTGGTACCAGGGATTGAACTCAGGGCCTCATGATTGCCAAGCAGACACTTGTGCAACTAACTGAGCATGATTTTACTTTTTTTGAAGTTACTCTGCTTGTTTTTTCAGTGAAATTAACAGGTTGGGGGAGGAGCTGTTTAAAGTTTGAACAGAGATGAAGAACGGATCAGTGAGCAATGAGCCTGGTCAATTTTAAGGTTAAAGTAACACTAGCTGGCATGGTTATAGTTTTTCTGTTTGAGACAAAACAGATTCAGGTAAGGAATGGCCAGTTGATTTGGCTTATACTTCTAACATGAATATAGCCAGTGCAGTTGAGTGTTTAGGAGTAATTATAATTATGAGGAATTGAACTGAAAGCCTGGGTGAAGAAGGAAACCAAGAAAGGAGTGGGTAGAATGAGAAAGGTGGTTAGTGAGTTGTAGGATATGGTCGGGTTGAAAAATTCTCAGGGTGCTTTAGGAAGGGATAGAAAGATGGGTAATGATGTTTGGATTTTTTTGAGGGGGGTACTGGGGATCGAACTCGGGTCCTTGTGCTTGTGAGGCAGATGGCAGAACCACTGAGCTATATCCACAGCCTGATGTTTGGATAACTGGATGCTTGAAATTGAGATTAGTGAGATGGTCATTATTGGTACCGACAACATATTACTATAGACTGTCAAAACCTAATATGATCACTTAAGAGTAAGTCGAGGTTATTGGAGGGACATTTACATCACTTACCATTATGGTAGTTGGGCTGAATGACATTAAGGCAGTTAATGTTTGAGCTAGTGCCAGTCTATGTCATTGACAAGTTATGTAGCATTATCTCCCGGGTCATTTAATAGCTTTTGTCCTTTGCATTCTACATGCATGTTTGGAAAGTTATCCATAATAAATTTTCTTATTAAGCTCCAAGAAGTTAAGTAAATTTGAGTTGGGTAACAATTTTATGTTAAATCGTGATTGAATCAAGATGCTTTATTAATAAAAAGTTAGGCATTTAAAATTTGTTCTCAGAATAGAGGTAGATTAAGTGCCCTTTGGATGTTACTATAGCCATTGACTGGTGAGATCCTAGGTAAATGAAAAAGCTTGGTGCTGTATGGTAGGGATGCTCTTTAATGAAAAACCTTTAATAGTTGGGAGATCAGTATCTCCTGGCTGGCATTTTGACTGTAAGCCCACATTGTTAGCTTGTTGCCTTCTCAAAACAAGTCATAACTATATTATTAAGATTATAACTTCCATATATTTGGCAAGTGTCCCATTTCTTTCTTGGCTTCTGATATCCCTAGATTGCCAAACATGTCTGTGTGAGACACAGGTGAAAAGCTAATCTTTCCCTTTTATTTATTCCTTGATAAATCCTTTTTTAATTCAAATTATTGATCATGAGGCATATGAAAATCTTACAGACTGTATACTTAAAACTGGTGGATCACAAAATGGCAAAAATTTTTATTGCTAATCTTTTATTTCTAGCTTAATGGACGACACCTGAATTTCAGTATTTTATAAATGTGTTACTATTGGGGGCAATATTTAGAATAAATAACTTAGAAACTAAAAAGTCTGAGGGAAAAAGCTCAAGAGCTACTAAAATGTTAGTTTAAGACCAAAGTGATCTGGTCTTTTTCTGATCAGCATGTGAGCTGTTTGTGTGATGCTTTAATTTAAAAGTTCAGATGGGCCCAGGACTTGGCACTATTTATGGAACTGAAGTGGCAGATGCTTAGCACCTCTGATACTGCCTCGGATTCTGTGTAGAAATGAAAGGCAAGGTAAGCCTCAGCCTCAATTAATGTTTCATATACTGACCCAGGCAACATTTCCCCAAGAAAGGGAGATCAGGCTGGCAGAGAAGACTCACAGCAGACACTAGGAGACCTTATTTCGAGGGCATGTTTCCCAACTCTTGTTACAGTGTTTCATTTATCTACCATCTAGTGAGGGGCATGTGATAGGGTCATTTCTATTCAATAAATACATATTCAAAGGTCAGTTAATGAGGGGAATATATATTTGTAAAACTCAGGTCCTTAAAAAGCTTATAGCCTTATTGGGGAGATACCTGCTACTCAATATCTGAACTGTGCTAACTCCTATAAAAATGAGTAAGCGCTCAAACATGACATAGAACTTTGGAGAGCTGTGTAAAAAACACTGGGTAAGTCACTGGGGTCAAACTAGAACTGGAGGTTTTTCTATCTTGAAATTCACACGAAGGTGACAAGGCTTGTATGCTTTTTAGCCTGATTTGAAAAATAATGCATTTTATATTTCATGGTTTGCTGTTAGCTCTCAAGATGAAGGACATCTTGCCAGGTGTAAGAATCTGAATTTGGTAAACAGCTATCTACAGATTTATACTAGAAATCTAATAGATGATTTGTAATGGAAAACTTTAATGGCATCTGATTAAAAGAAAACCGTTTGCTCTATCAAAATACTATGGTATATTGACTGGTAAATCAGTCAAAAGAGTGGATTTTTACCTAATGAGTTATCTGGATTCTTTTTCCAAAGATATATGAGAGTCACCAGAGATACTGTCAAAATGCAGTTTTGGTGGGCCTGGCATCGGGCAACTTACAACACAGTGCTGGTTACAAGTGTACTGATTTTTCCTTGTTTACCTCTGTGCTTCTCTTTGTCCCCATAAACTCAGTCCTTAAAGCCATAGCTGTTCTAACTCAGGACAGAAGACATAGTTGTCCATACAAGAAGTACAGCTTTACAGAGTGTATCCAATTTTAGTTTCTCTGATATTGGTATATTTGCATTGTCTTTATCAGCTCAGCATGCCAGTCCAAAAACAAACATGCTCTAAAATCCAGAACTTTTCAGTCATGGTGGCATCACAAGGTTGCAGATTTTAGAGTTCTGTAGTAGGGATGCTCAGCCTATATTGAAACAGAGGGCTCCTGGAAGGAGGACAATGTAGTTATCCAAAGGCATTTGCCAGTGACATTCAGAGGACGACCCTGGTTGTATTCCAACATATGATTAAGCTATCACCAATTATGAGATTCGACTGCCTTTTATTTGCCCATGAAAGAAACAAAATCAGACCAGAAGAACCTTACAGAAGTTTTTAGTAAATGTTTCCTTCAGTTTATTTTCTGTGTTTCTTAAAAACAAACAAATTCAAATTTGATATTAATGGCTTAAAACACTGTACAACAAAGCAAACTCTTACTCATCCTGCAAGTTGGTCTATGTTTTCTTTACTTCTGTTGGCCAGATGATCCTCGATAATTTCTGCAAAAAGATTCCTCTTCAACAGATTATATGCCAGAGGTAAAAGCTGGCCAGCAACTTTATGAAAATACTGAAAAACAAAAGAATAGAACATTAATGAGAATACATCACGTACCCTAGTAGCGACCAGAAAATACATTGAAGCAGTACCTGTTTAACAAAGCCCACTTCCAAAATAATGTTAGCTACTTGCTCAGTTAGTGAACAGTGAATTTGGGGACAGGCATATGGTGTTGGAGTTGTAATTGTGGTCTAATACTAATAGCATATGAAGAAAATTAAGTTTTTAAAAAATGCCTTTTCTTTTCTCTTTTTTTGGTACTGGGGATTGAACTTTTGAGGCAGGCGGCGGAACCGCTGAGCTAAATCCTGGCCCCTAAAAATGCCTTTTCTAGTCCCTTAGGTTTTATTAACTTTTTTTTTTTGTCCCAAACTATGCCCTCAAGTACTTTGCCCTCCTTTTCAGTATATTCTCACCAGTAAAAAAAATAAGCTTTATTTTTCTTTGTTACAGCCTGCAAGACTAGGTTTCATATCACTACCAAATTCCTTCTCCCCCGCCCCATGTAACTACTTCATCCTTATTAAGAGTTACAGGCAGGGCTGGAGATTCAGCTCACTGGCACCGCACCTGCCTTGCAAGCACAAGGTCCTGAGTTCGATCCCCTGTACCAAAAAAGAAAAAAGAAAAAAAGTTACAGGCTTAGGTTTTACTGGATGATTTTATAGCATTTCTATTACATATGTACCAGTAAAAAAAATAACTAGCAATGCTACATTCTTTTGTTGATAAATAGTAAATAGTTATTTAACACTTAAGGTAAATACTACCCTAAACCTTTTTATGCCTCATATTCTCACAACAATATTTAGCTGATTCACATCTCATGGGTCTACTATTTTATGGCTTGGTCCTTTCTGGTAGATTAAGCACTATCCTGACTGGACAGTAACTATCACTTTGGTTATTAAACATTCTGATTATTTTTACCGATAACTGTATGAGGTAGGCAAAGAAAGGCAGTGCAATATGGTTTATAGCAGGGTTCTCACAATGACCCCTCAAACACTGGCAACTTGTTAGAAATGAAAATTCTCAGTATCCACCCCTCAGTATCCACCCAAGAACTCAAATCTAATTTGGAGGAATGTGTGGGGAGCACCAGTCTGTGTTTCAACAAACTTTCCAGATGATTCTGATGCATGCTAATGTTGGAGCCCTACTAGTTTAGTCTAGCTCCTCAGTGTCTGTAAAATAGAAGCATTACTATCCCCAGGAGTCAGAAATGTGTAGTTTCAGGTCTCACCGCAGACCTACCAAAGCAGAGTTCCAATTTTAACAAGATGCCCAGGTAATTCATAAGCACTTTGGGAATTAGACAATGACTTTAGATATTGACTTGGGAAGCAGATGGCTTGTGTAAACCAATTGAGAATTAAATGGCCTGGTGCTGGTTAGGGGAGATGCACGTATGAGCAGGCATTTTAGAGGTGAGGACAAAGATAAAATGTTGGACACAGCTGGGGAAGATGTGACTTAAAACCACTTTATTTCCAGAAGCATGTTATATCCACTATACCTGACGGCCTTTCTGACCATGCTGTTTAATAAAATCTAATTTAATGAGCAAATAAGTCACGAGAACTACCATCTCCTGCATTTTAATTTAAAGCACATTTTAAAATAGTATGTATCAGCTGGGTGCAGTGACACAATCCTGTAGCCCCAGCACTTGGGTGGCTGAGGCAGAAGGATCGCTTAGAGTTCAAGGCTACTCATTTTCATATTGAGTTCAAGACCTTTTGGAACTACATAGTGAGAACCTGTCTCCAAAAAATAAATAAAAAGTAGAAATGAAGAGGACCCAAAGGTGTGTGCGTATACATGCCCATATACACAAGCACAAATATATACACATATCTAAATGGTATAGTTGTATTATATATCTAATAGATAAACTCACTTTAAACCTGAAGGAAATAATCTTGGTTATTCACCTTTGCCAGAATACAAGATGAATTTCAAATATTTTCGGAAGATCTGCTTAAAAATCACTTCAAAAAGTTCATTTTGAGATAGAAGCTGAATCCAGATCCTACCACCATAAGAACTTGGGGAATATATATGAGCATGCTTCAGTGTGTATATGTGGTAGCAGGTGGAAAGTATTTTTTTTAACTCACATGTGAACCATAACAAAAGAGATCCATTCCCAACTCCAGTCCCATGCCATAATCACACTCATCATTAGCAAACTGTACAAAAGTCATCATTTCCTGGATGGGAACAAAGGCTTTTAGTCTCTCATCATCACTTGTAGCCTCAACAATTGTTCTGCAAATTTTCTTGAGGTCAGCTGAAAGAAATAAGAAGAAGAGATAATTTATGCATTTAGATTATAAAGGTAAAACGACCATAAAGAATTTTTTCTCATATGACTTTGTGCTAGTCCAATTGATGACACTTTAGTAGTCTGCTGAATTACGATTCTGAATGGCAATTTCATAATTTTTCTAAGGACTCAAGCATAAAAATGGCTCAACAGAAAAGACTTCTTGTGTTAACAAAGTGTAACACAATTTCACATTAGAGTCAGCTGTAATCATTATTTTATATAAGCATTCAAACACTTTCGGCAGGCTGGTCTAGGAATTGGCAAACTTCGGCCATACCTGGGTTCATTCTCTTTTCTAACTGCCCTCAAACTAGAAATGCCTTAAGTAGTTACAAAACGAAAAACCCAAACAAGAATATGCAAGAGACAGTATGTAATCCACAAAGTGATCCTAGACAGCAAGGCTGCCGGTCTGTAGACTAGTCCAATGCATTATATTAGGAGTTGGGTTGAGAGACAGGAGGACAGGAAAAACCCATGGGAAAAGTATAATGAGGTAAGAACATAGAGAAAAATTATTACTGGCCTAATATTTCTACTTTAGCTTTCAACATTTTCTTCATTACTCTCTGAAAGCCAATGTATATTAGATCTTAAGATGCAAATGAGATTAAAGGTACTAAATATATATATTGGATTTTCTTTTTCTTTTTGATACTGGGGATTGAACTCAGGTCCTTATGCTTGTGAGGTAAACAGCAGAACCACTGAGCTAAATCCCCAGCCCTATATTGGACTTTCTTTTGACAAATGACAACCTGTTTTTGACAAATTGTACTTCCTTCAAGATAATTCAATAATAAAAAAAGCTGATTATTACTCAACCAAAACACATTTCTAAACAAGGCGGCTACTATGCTGGAGTAGAAGAGAATTGGTTAAAACATTAACAATCACACTTAAGGACAATGCACTACTAGTAATAGTAAACTGTAAGATATGTAATTATCAAGATGGTAAAGATTATATTAAGAATTTTCACCTCAGTGTATAGTTTGATTAATTCAGTCATGATGAACATGGTGAATACAAATATTATAAGAGATCACAAAATATGTTTTGTTCCTTCTGCTACCCTTGATAGACAATATCACACTGGCCAAATGACTCCATCCCTTATGTTTCAGATTATAAATGATAGAAAGTTTATCTACAAATTGTCTTTACTGTTGCAGCCTTTCAAACATTAACATTAACTAATTTAAAATGTTTCATGGCTTTTTTTTTTTTTTTTCTTCTCTTCCTCTTCAGAAAAACCAGTGTGAGGAACCATTTCAAGGAAACAAATGAGGCTTCCTTCAAAATCCTTTTCTAAAGGCTGGAATATAAGTAGTTCTTTTGTGAATTAAGACTTAACTGACTGAGACCCTTCAAATCTCTCTCACCACAATGCTCTGGGCAACCACTACAAATCAATTGGGGTTGATATGGAAGTAAAGACATACTTGTTTTCCCTTAGCCAATAATTTAAAGTTCAGCACTTTCTGGTATATTTTCAATTCCTATCCCTAGAAAAATCACACAGACTAGAAAAGAATATAAGAAAGAATGTAAGAATTGCCTAGTTAGAAAAATACTGAACAGAGATGAAAATATTCAGCTCAGCATCATTATGAGGAAAAACATGTCCTTCCACCAGTAAAACATTCCACAGAAATTCACTTAACAGAAGGCCAAACTTAAAACATATCTCAGTAAAGATTTACTCAAAATGAAACCTTCAATGTTACTATTCAAAACATTCACTTTAATGACTTGGAAATTCTCATACTTAATTCTCATTGTAGCATATCACCACTACCAACTGGAATATTTAAGCTAAGCCACAGTGGTTTTGTCAAAACTAAAAATTAGGCAACTAAGTTAAGCGATTATTCTCACTTTGGGCAATGGTATGCACTCTACCATCAGAAAGACCAAGTGTGAGATCTTCATTTTTTTCATGCTGACTCTGGTTCTGTTTTCTTTCTGAAAATTAAGAGTAAAACCTAAAGAACTGGATGAAGATTATTTGATATTATTGGTATGCAGATAGCACATGGTATAATGAATCATAACATTTAAGAATTGGTTAATAAATGGTATTTTATTTGCAAGATTAAAAATTACTGTAGGAAGCTTCAAAAGAGAATACTGGTTAGGAACAAACAACTGTTTTTTGCTCATCACTGTCACACCACATTAACAAGCCATGAGCAGTTAGGGCCTAGATTCCTTTCCCAGAAAGAATATCATCATCTCTGGATTGTGGGAGGAGATAAGGGACAGATAATGTCCAAGAGAACCATAGAACGAAATATATACAATTAACATTTTTCTACTATCCACAAGTGAAAAAAACAGATGAGTTTAACAGTATTAAACCCAGTATTTCTAAAACAGTATTACTTCAATATATAGGTGATATAGAAACATTTAATGCTGGTTTCACTTGCACATTTACATTAAAATCACAAACTCTGTTCCTCAGTCATTTCAACCCATATTTAAAGTGCTCAGTAGCCATATGTGGCTTGTGGCTACTGCACTGGACAGCTTGCCCACATTCATACCCAATCAGGAATTTCTCTGACGTGGTTGGGATATAGTAAAAAATAGTTATATATGAATAGTTACCAATGAGACTTTCTATCTCAAAATGTGAGAACAGCTGTTTTAGAGAAATGGTTTAAAAAAAAAAAACACATTTTCTACGTCCTAACACCAGAGACTGGTAATTACAAAGGCTAATTAGCTGTATTCTGTCTGAAAAAAGAGTGGCCAAATATGAGTGTAAGGCAGAAATATTTGGCTCTCCCTTGAGGAGATGCTAATTTGATTTCCTAAAGTATTATGCTCCTGGAACAAGACGATAAAGAATGCCAACAAGGGTGTTCACAATAAGAAGAGAATGGAGAGGAGAAGAAAGGAAAAACAGTTTTAATTCTTTTTTAAAAAATATACTAATAATAAGTGTGTGTATGTGTATATATATATATATATAGCTCATTTTCAAAGCGTTCTTATATGAAGTAGATCAGGATCTAGGGTTTATGAACGCTAAACAGTCTTACGTACCGATAAATGTTCATAAAGAACTACAAAAGTAAAAACTATTTCAGTAATTACTATTTTGCAAGTTCACTATAACATCAAAGGTCATGAAACAGCTCAGAAGTTAAGCATTTTATATATTCTTTTGCATCCTAAATACCTCTATGAAATAGTGAACAGCATTCATTTTACAAATGAAAAAGACAAGTTCTGTGGTTAAACAATTTGCTAAAGGTCACATAGCTATAAAACTTAGCTGCAATGACTTTGTTCTTTATGACTACTTATTTCCCAATAAAAGGAAAACCCTCTTAATATATATGCACATGTTTACATCTGAAATATATTACCATCTGTTTCAGGGAGTTCTCTGTACCCAACATCATTTTTATCTATCGGAACAACCAAGCCTGCACCATGAAAGGTCTTTGTCACAACCTAAGTTAAAGAAAAAATAAACAGAAAATTAAATCATGGCAAACAGACCATATCAAACTAAACAAAACACACAAACACTGAAAATTTCTGCTAAAATAATATTCAAAGACATTTTATTTCAATGAGCTTAGATTCTAGAATGAAAATGATTCTGTTTGCTTTAAAATTAGCTAAAAAGCAGCCTGAGACAATAATGATAAATGAAATAAATCAGACCCACAAGCTTGAATATTGCATGGCTTCTCTTATATGAAAACCCTAAAATATAATTAAAGAGAAAAATAAAAGATAATATGAAATACAGATAGATCTTTTCCAAATGGGAAGGGGCCCAAGAGATGGGAGAGTTGGAGGGAAGAGAGGGAAAGGGGAAATAAAAAGAAATGCCACCAGCAGCTCTCCATGATGAATTTAATCATGTACTGCAAACATATACTAATAAAAATTGAAAAAAAAATAGTTAAAAAGCATCCAAAGTAATTATAAAACAATATAAACAGGTTTTTATTAGCTGTGCTAATTTACAAGTCTGTCATACTACAGTTTCCTCTGAGGTCCAAGTATCTTCTAGGTAGAAAGCATAAGAACCTTGGACTAATGAGTAGACAGAATAGGCTTATTATTTAGCAGGAAGAAGAGGACAGAATTCCACTCATCCATCCTGCCAAATTCAGACCCTACTTATTTTCACCTGGAAAATTTGTGCTTATTTACAGATGCCCCCAAGTAGGGGAGTTTTTACTTCTGTATTATGCCTTGTAAAGAAATCACATCATCAGTTTGCTTTTAATAAGGACTAATCTTCAAAGACAAAAACCGGGCCTAACCACCACCAAAATCCTTTCAGTCAACATTCTTCCTTTTAGTCATACTAGTAGCATTTTTTAATGTCTTTCCTTAATAAAATATCTGCTGCAATAATCCACCTCTTTGTGCAGTCCAGTGAAAGCTTCCAAAAAGGACAAGGTCCAAAAATAAACTCCTAATTTTATACTCTTTTCATCTAAGTTTCTGCATCTAACCTTTATTCTCACTCTTCTTTCATTATTTTTTATTAAGCCTCCAAAAAGGACAGATTATTCAAAGAAGCAACTACTATTAGGAAAAAAGTTATAGTCTTATATTTTAATATTTACAGCAAAATAATCTGCTGTTAGATCTTAAGAGTGAATATAGGGCCGGGGATTTAGTTCCAGCGCCTACCTTGAATCTCAAGGGCCCAAGTTTGATCCCCAGTACCAAAAAAAAAAAAAAAAAAAAAATCAGGGTCAGCACCTACTTTGGCTGTAAAAAAAAAAAAAAAAAAAAAAAAAAAAAAAAAAAAAAACGACATAAGGGTAAATGTAAAAACAAAAGTATAAATCAACTTCTAGAAGAAAGGCAAATATAGTATTTTTAATTTTATGTTGAAAAAGAAAATAATGGTAGAGCTTACTATATTAAAACATCAAGTAAGAGTAAAGAAAATTATGACATTAACTGATGAAAATACAAAGTACACAACAGTAAAATTAATAAGATGAATCTAAATATAAGTGAGCTTTACAAACAAAAGTACTGACACTTAAAGCACAAGTAAAAGTAAGACTAATTCTAAGTTTGATAGAAAAATGGGCACTCAACACAGAAATGAAAAATATTTAATATCCTTTATAATCAAAGAAATGTTAATTAAAACAATGAAGTATCACTGTATACTTAACTATGGAAGACTTTACTGAAAAGACTTAGGAGTGAAAACACACCAAATTAGAAACAAGCAAAGAAAACTAGACACAACCACTTTAAACTACCTTAAGCCTGGCAATAATATGTGCAGGAATTTCTTCTAAGGAAATAATTATAACTGTGCAAATAAAAGTATAAAAGGGTACTTATGGCAGGGCTGTCTATACTATGAAAATTTAAGCAACCTAAACTTTGAATCTAATAGCATATTCTGCAGTCACTCAAAATTATGAAGATCTGAAATTCAGCAATATGAAGTGATAATCATAATATATTCATAAACATAGAAAGACAGGTCATTTGACTTTTCTTTTCCACTTAGGCTAAATGACATACAACAAAAACCAAGGTAAATGGCATTTTCACTGAGGATGAATTGCACTAATTATCCCCTAAGTGGTATCAATTATTAGCAAATAACAAGAATCCTAAAGTTATTAGGAAAGACAAGATTGCAAACTTAACAAAACACTCCACTGGACTGGGTTACTGTTCTGAGGCATCAGATCAGATGTGAACAGAATGAGGTATAATACTTTCATTTAACTGCATTATTTAACCACGGTTCCTTTTTAAAAATGAATAAATCTAGCTATAAAAAGGTGAAGTGACATATAACTAATTAGTAAGAAGATGGAGAGGAAAGAATGCTAAATATGGAAGATATGAACTTAGATCTCAAATCTGCCACTAATGACTTTCAATAAAACACAAAGCCATACTTTAGTTATCTGTAATATAGGATAATTCCTACACTGCGGATTTGTGCTAGGAGTATTGAGTTAACGCACATGTAAAGACTTTGCATTCCAAAAGACTCAAGTACTAGCAGTGTAAAAACACTTTTTAAAAATGGGGGAGTACTTCAGTGGTGAAGCACTTGCCTAGCACGCATAGCCATGGGTTCAATCTTTAATACCACAAAACAAAGAAAAACTTATGTTCAGGGTGCCCCATGTTATTTGATACTTAAATGGATATATTATTACTCTTATATCTAACGACAAAGACTCTAACATTTACTAGCAGATACGAATTTATAGGAATAGAAAAATACAAATCAAATGAAGCTCTGATAATAATATTTAAAAAACAAACTGCAGGGCGTGGTGGTGCACGCCTGTAATCCCAGCACTTGGAAGGTTGAGGCAGGAGGATCCTTAAATTCGAGACCAGCCTGGGCTACCTAGTGAGTTCCAGATCAGTCTCAACTACATAGTGAGACCCTGTCTCAAAAAACAACAACAACAACAAAAACGACCCTTACATAATAAAGATCTGAAAACAATTTCTAACAGGAGTATAAAATCTTAGTTGTAAGTTTTTTTCTTTGTATTTGTTTTAACCACCTATTTTATATTAAAAACAATAAAAAGAAAACTTACAGGGGAAGGGGCCAGAATAAATATACCTATGGAAAAAAACATATATACGTATGTTTTTTTTTTGTACTGAGGATCAAAATTGGGTCCTTGTGCTTGCGAGGCAGGCGATGGCATCACTGAACTAAATCCCCGGCTCCATACATACCTATGAAATTTAAATCCCAGTAATATTTATAGCTATGGGGAAGATATAAGAAAATCTGCCATGAAATAAACTAATTTGTGGTAGAAAAATAAAACAAAGTTCTCATTAAATATTTTTTAAACAACTATTAATCCACAGAAGCTCAGCCTATAGTCAAGACACATTAGGAATACACGTTAACAAGGCCAAGGATAACTGCTATACCTTCCTTCTAGTCTGAAGGTGAAAGAACCTTCCTATGATAATCAGAGAGAGAAAATGGCAAATATAAAATCTCAAAGTAATTTTAAAATGCCACAATGGTAACGAGTTTCATTAAAATGTGTATCTCTAGAAACTATTTCTAGTCTTCAGGACTAAAGAAAGGACTGCTAACACTAAAATTTAGTGTCTACAACTTATCAGTGTATCACTCTTTCAGCTGAATCAGGATCAGAAAAGGAACTGAAGCTGGGTTTCCAATAACTAAGTACACTAAGGTACTTGTCACAGTATTATTTTATCGGGGCAAGCCCATAAGAAAGCTCCCAAGGATATGGCATCCAGCTCTCTGCAAGATAGGGCTAGAGAAGATTAAGATGGGGAAGGAAATCAAAAGGAAAAGACTAACAGATTTAAATCATACTTTCTTGTCTCTCTGTTTCATCTTCATGGTTCTCTGTTCCAATGAGTACCCCAATTTGCCAGCTGCTTCTGTGAGTTTTTCATCCATGTTTTTCAAGAAACTAACTTTCTTTTTATCTGTTACTTCTTTAAGTCTTTTCACCAAAAATAATCTGAAAAAGAAGTCAAAGCCTTCATTATATTGTTGTACTAAATAAATATAAGTTAAGGGAGATAAGAAAAAAATATCAAATTCCACATAAGAAAGTCTGCAGAAAAACTGCCAATGGCTCCCTCCAAATTCCTAATAGTTTTTGGCAAACAAGGGAAAAGTAATATTTGTAAAAAGCTGCCAGTCATAGAAATAGCAAATATGATTTTAAGTTTGTATTATATCTTTACTAAAGATTCTAGAGAGGTAAAACCTATTTAAAAAGCTTTAAGTTTTAAGTTGCATCACTAGATATGTATATGTATATGTATATGTACATGTATATGTATATGTAATTGTATATGTAATTGTATATGTTTTGCTACCAGGGATTGAACTCAGGACCTTGCACTTTCGAGACAGGAGGCAGCACCACTGAGCTAAATCCATGGCCATCACTTGAATATTAAGATATGGCATACTGCTTTGGGTCAATCTGGCACAACAGGAAAAAATATATGTACATACCTAAAAGATTGTCTACTTGTAAAGAAGCCAAAGAACACTGTCACAGTATTTAAGGTTAACAGGTTTTGAAAAATATTAACTTCAAATTTGTGTGAAGATTTGGAAAAATATAAAAGAAAATCAAAGCTTACTTTACAAACTTACGTGAAATTATAATCCAAGTAATCCTTAAAAGAATGTGAATAGTATAATATGTTAATGCCAGAATAATCTTACTTTTTAATCATAAAATGTGAAGAATTTTGCCAGCAGTATGGTCAAGAGTAAAAAGGTAAGCAGGAAGTGGCACTCCACTGGACAAAAAAGTCCATCCCCATCCTCTGTAGGTAGTAAAAAACCCAGAGAGAAACTCATTTCTATCTGCTACCTACATCTGAGACTTTACACTTACTCACTGTAACTCTGTCATGGGCTGAAGACTGCAAAGGGCTTAGAACACTTATAGTGGATGCTGTTCTTCACTCCATTTGATGAGAAACTGAGGCACAAATGATAATCAACTTTACCCAAGTTCAGAAAGCTAATAAAGCTAAATTAATGTGCCAAAGAAACCCAAACCATCAGTCAGTAGCTCCTGATTATAGGACATATAGTTATACTAACTCATCTTCAATCATCATCAGCTGTACACTGAGAAAATATATTTATATTAATTTTAAAAAACACATTTAATCACGTTAGGCCTAAATAAATCTTTAGTCTTCCCTGGCCATTAATAGTTCTGTGCCATATATATATATACATATATATATATATATGTATATATATATATATTTTTTTTATGTTTACACATGTACTGCTCCCTTGCCATATTCTTTCTTTCTCATAAATTCTGGTGCAACATCAAGGCTCTTTACCCCATTATTATAACTTTCTCATTGCCAGCTTATTAAGCTTTTGTTTTGGCTTCAAATATACTCCCAACACCCTGCTTCATGATGTTTAAAGACAAGGCACACTGTGCAAACTGAAACTATAGCCATGAACATTCTGTGCTGTGTTACATTAATCCAGGGAAATGTCTTGAATTCTGAATCAATCTTTCCACTATGCATGTTTTATAGGATCACGCAACGGCCACTTGGAACTAAGTTATGTGGATCTTCCAAATGTTAAAAGTTTTCATTACATCAAATTCCTTCTATTATATAACAATACATCACTCATTTAAATAAGTCTTTAGGTAGAGAGGAGCTTTCAAGATCAGTGATGGTTACCAGTACTGTATTCTCCAATCTAATTTTTGTTAGAAAACTTGAATTTTATCACTGGCAACAAATACAGTTGGTTTCTTGGTTCAAATGAGAAAAATAACAGTTCTGCAAAAATACATGCTTAAATAACCAATTCATCAGTAACTCACTCTAACAGTAACAGTGGGGAAAAGTCTGAATCACAACTCAAATAAATATTGTAAAATTTTGAACATACTTAGATTTTTTTCATTTGCATTAAACAGTATCAGATGGAACCCTTCGACACTGTTCTGTTATTTGCCCTCTTCCCAATAAATTAGTATCATGGCATTATAGAGTATGAACACTTTGTATCTGTTTACCTAATCTTTCCTCCTGATGTATAGTATATGTTGTTTCTAACTTTTCTTTTTTATTTATTTAATTCATTAATTTTTTTGGTACCCGGGATTGAACTCAGGACCTTGCACTTGCAAGGCAGGCAGTGGAACCACTGAGCTAAATCCTTGGCTCCACTTTTCATTGTTATAAACAATAATAAATACACATACATATTTGGCTAGACATCAAATTTTTTTTAACAGCTTGAATTGGAATTGCTGATTCAAGGGCATAAATATATACTTAGCAAAATACCTGTCAATGTTAATTACCTATCAAGAAATCTTTCTCAATACAGATGAAAACAATGATAAGATTCTACCTCACCCCAGAAAGAATGGCTGCTATCAAGAAATCAACAATAACAAATGCTGGCCTGGCTGTGGGAAGAAAGGAACCCTTCTTTACTGTTGGTGGGAGTGCAGACTGGTGCAGCCACTGTGGAAATCAATATGGAAATACCTCAACGAACCAGGATTAGAGGTTCCATTTGACCCAGCTATTCCTCTGCTGGCTATCTTCCCAAAAGATTTAAAAGTATCATATCACAGTGATATATGTACACCCATGTTTACAGCGGCACAGTATTTATTAGCTACAACTTGGAAATAGCCTACTTGCCCATCAACTGGAGACTGAATAAAGATGTGGTTTTTCTATAAAATGAGTACTACTCAGCCATAAAGAATGAGGAACTAGAGTTACCTACAGGTAAATGGATGCATATTGGGGCCATACTCTTAAGTGAAATAAATAGGACACACATGTAAATATTGAATAGTTTCTCTGGTGTGAAAAACTAAAAGTGAAAATAAGGTTCAAGTTGTACAATTGATAATGTGAAATAGGAAGAAAAGGGCTAAAGGAGTAGGGGAAGTGGGAAGGGTAGGGGAAATGAAAGAAACGAAAAGAAAAAATATGAGAAAAGGAAAAAAATGGAAACAGTTTTTGTAAATGGAGAAGTGTTGAGGGGGTGAAGGGAGGGCAGGGATATGGGGAAAAAATGAGAACCAAGATCTTTCATGTAAAGGTACAAGATCCAATGATGAATTTAACTGTACTGTATATGTAAAAAGTACCAATAAACTTAATGAAAAAAAAAAATCTTTCTCAAGAAAATAGTTGTCTTAAACATGTCTCAACTACTCTCTACAAGTTTTTCCATTGGCATTTATACCACAAAGGTTTCTTTCAATTTGACCATCACTGGTTTTCTCTACTGGTTTACCTTCACTAATCTTTGCTGGCTTAATGTGCATTTTTAAAACTGATATTGTCTTTCATGGAGAACTTTTCTGAAGCACAAAAATGATTTGTTTATAGCAAATAGTCTGCTTTGTAAGATCTTACTTAGGCTGCTATATAAGTAAATGAAGAAATTCAATGTTCTGATTAGCTGATTTATGGAAAGTCTCCCAAAATTGAATGTTATAATAATTAAAAGTACTAAAACAGCTAACTATATTTTAAAATAGTATTTTACCCCTGTTTGAAATAAATTATTGGAGGTAGTTCCTCAAGTACTCACCTTCTAGTCCTTAACTAAATTATAAATAATATCACTTAGGTTTTTTATTTTTCTTTTCTGTGTTCTCCAATATGCTAAAAAAAGCCAGAATCTTGAATTTAGATAATCACTATTATGTTATATTTCATCTATAAAAAGATTTCTGCTAAGACAAATAAGATTAATAATACAAATTAAAGGTCGAGGATGTAGCTCACAGGCACCATGCCTGACTGACAAGCACAAAGTACTAGTTGGATTCCCAGTACCAAAAAGAAAAAAATGCTAGTTAAAAATTAGGTGTTTTATATGCCAAGGTACAGTATTTTTAAGATAAATAAATGACTAATAATGTATCATGAGACAAAGCCTCAGCCCTCATGAAACTTACTGTTAAGACAAATGACAGACAATAAGTAAACAACTATAGTTTCATTTGTTTGTTTGTTTTAGTACCAGGGATCGCACTCCAGACCTTGTGTTTGCAAGGCACGTGGCACCACTGAGCTAAATCCCCAGCCCTTAAACAGCTATAGTTTTTTATAAAGATGGTGCCTATTTATATTGAGTGATGAATCTGAAGAGTTTAAAAGCAGTATATAAATTATAAATATCATGCAATATTTTATATGAAACTTAGAAGTATTAGAATCCAAACAGCTTTTTCTCAGTTATCTACAATGCGTTTGCCCTTCAGATACACCCAATGTACACAGCACAGACCAGTGGTTGTGCTAGATGGACTTCAATTCTCTTAAATTCTCTAAATTTGGACTGTTAAATCACAAGGATCAAAGCTCTTTAAAAGAAGAGTATTAAAAGAGGTTACACAAGGGGCAATCCACTGTTCGTAGCCTTTCTCTCAATACAATTTTCCTACTCTTAACCTCCACTGTTCCTAGAATTCATTCTTCAATATTAAGAGAACACAACTCACATTTCGGATACCTAGCAGTTTTGGGAGTTACATCTCTTCTCCCTATATCATTCTGGGGGTCTTCCACTGAGATTACTAATCAGAGATGGAGGTGTTTGACTGAAAGACTATTTCTCTTTTTTTTTTTTTTTTTTTTTTGTTTTTTTGGACCGGGGTTTCTTAAGTAGTTGGTTGCCCTGTCTGGAACTCACTATATAGCCCAGGCTGGTCTCGAACTCACAGTGATCCTCCTGCCTCAGCCTCCAGAGTGCTGGGATTACAGGCATGTGCCACCATGGCCAGCCTGAAAGACTATTTCATACTAAGATGGACATATAAGTGTTACAGAGAGAATGTCATCATGATTATCATGCTAAAATACTATGTATCTCTTGATCCTAAGTTTTTCATATAAGGTATAGGCCACTGTCTGTTAACATTCTGCAGGGATTCAACTACTAAAACAACCATGGGCGGTAAGAAGTACCAGCCCC